TCTGACCCGACCTGACCTTATCAGGTCGGGTCAAGTCAATTACCCGACCCGACCCGACCTGTTCGGAGCTCTAATCAAGAGTTATATTGGTTGTGTATTTCTTAATATGTTTGGGATTCCCTTTGATGCCTTTGGGTATCTTAATAAAAGTTCCGAGTCTGCGAGTGAAATTTGCGTAGCTCAACAATCAAAATCAACTATTACTTTCAAGGTTATCATTAACCAAAACTTGTTTGATAAAGAGCATAAAAAGGTAACAACACTGCTTCACATATTAAGTGCACATGCATTGTTAAATTGTTGGTTAACAAATCTCTTTCTTATATAATAAGGTTACTGAAGCTATGGATGAGGAAGATTTGGTTTTATTATTCTTAACGAATGCAGATAAAAAAAAACAACCTGTCTATATATGATAAACCAAATAGCGCATTAGTATCTATGGAAAATTTTCCAAAGTTTATGAATATACATATGCGAGTTACGCACAATTTGCATCTGGTATGTTTGTAATTTGGAATTCCCTCTTTAATCATAATGTTTGTTAATGTTCTTTTACATTTACATAGTGAACGAAAAGTATATATTAATTCTGCACCTGTTGAGTCACTCGTAATTCTTAGTTTCAATGAGGGTGAGAGATTAATATATGTCTTAAACGCAAAGAACACCCTTTCGATAATCTAGATGATATAAAGGAAAGGCTTGGCATTGATGATGAGAAATTTAAAAAGTTGAAGTTTGATAGAATTTCTTTTTAATCTTGGAAGTTGATGACTTCTGTATTAAATAGCAATACCATAGATACACATGCAAAAACTAGTCAACAAATGTCCATGTAAATTCAAATTATTATGTAAACATATAAATATTGTATAATTGTATTAATCACGTTTTTTTATGAGTTGTCTCTAACAAATAATGTACATTTAAAGAGAGCAATTATCTTGCTAATTTTTTCAGCTATCTATTTCTATTATATCGAAATAAATTATCTCAGTTCACACGTATAATCTATTTTATCTATTATATTTATACTAAAATTTTCGCGATTAATCAGATAGAAAAATACACTATAGATTGTAACTGGCCTGATGTCGTGAATGATACCAATTACTTTTAGGTTATAAAAAAAACTGACATTTTGTCACAATCAATATTGTACGTAAAAATTTTTTATTAATATGATATAACATGCAAAAAATAAATATGTAAGTTGTGAAGAGCTTCTTTTTTTTTGGGATAGTAGTTTAGTTGTATAAAAAAATCACGTGTGCGTGAACAATTGTTCACGCTGATCACGTTTGCCAAGAAAAATTTTTTATTAATACATGCGAAAATTAAATACATAGTTTGGGATGTAGCCCAGGATACATATTATTTTTTGATAAATTTTTCGATTCTAGCCCTCTTACTAGTTGGAAAATTATCAAAACTAACCCTATCTTTTAGTAGCCTAACAATTATACCTATTACCCTTTTTACGTTGCTTCTAAGTAATTCAGGATTTTCTTTGACGGCAGATTTCATCAGATTAATCTGGTACTCACTACTGCACATAGAGTATATACCATCAGGAGTATATACAGAGGGTGGACAAAAGTATCTGCACACATTTTCACTCAATATAAAACTTCAAATAATTTTGCATTAACAATGAAAGGTTAATTAATATTTTATTTAAAGCTGATT